TTAGCATATACATGTAGTGGATAATGTTTCATCCTCATTCATTGCTCCTAAACATGTCCACATAGTCTATAAAGATTGGATCTGGTTGTTTACTTTTTAACATACGTTTGGAAGATAGGCTTAGACATAATCTATTGCGCCATACAGTGTCATCCATAGTCATGTTTAGATGTGGCTGCTGACTCCAAAACATGTGCTCCAAGTAGATGTTTAATCTTCTTGCCTAACTCCTTCACACTTACATATAGAAGATAGTGTTCAGACATACTTATTGACCTATCCTATTTGAATATGTTTATTATGTATCATGTTCTGTGGGCACTGCACATCTTTGTGGGTTGCTTTCTCAATATGACCACATTCTACCCACGGATTGGTTCCTCACCTACTGGTCTTCTGTTGTTCTACTTTCTCATTGCTTCCTATATTCTGGTCCCATCATTTTTATTATGCATGTCCTCTCCATCACCTCCCTCAGGTCCTTGCTCAGTTTTGAGATATCTCTTAATTGGTCCCTTTGGCAGCCCCTGACAGGTTAATCCAACCTTTTATCTGTTATTCCACCTCCTCATGTTTCAACCCTGCCTTCCTCTTCCGATTTTCCATCTGTTTTGATTCACCCTCACACATTACTCTTTCTTCCAAATATGATATCCCTTTATCATTGTGTGTGGGATTGTCCAGTTTACCTCCGTGATCATGTGATTGTCCCTTTGCCTCACTGCTGTCACCCTTCTTCCTCTTCTATGTGCAAATGTACAGAATATACTTATCACCTTGGTGACACTGTCCCCATTTCTCTTTGACTTTCTTACATTATAACATCTGGATCATCTTTTACGGGACAGTTCTCCCGTGATCTGTAAGTTTTTTCTATCTCAGGTTTTAGGGCATCATTTCCTCCATCTTCCACCTTTTCTAACCTCATAATTTACTTCATTCTCTGCTTCTTTTCTACCCTCTTTCCTTCCTTATCCACTGCTCACCTTCTTACTTCTTGCATGATTTGATTATCATCGTGTTTCTTTGTGCTCTTACCTGAATCCTTGTTGATGCTGTAGTAGGTGTATCTGCTCTCCCTAGACACCAAACCTATTCCTACTTGCTATTGATACCCATTGTACACATCTATGCCATTGTTTCCTCCCACTTTCTCATTACCATTTTTCCCTTCTCCTTTGTCTTGATTGGTATTTCCTTCAGTCATATTCCATAGCACAGGAAAATGGTCACTCCTTTTCTCTGATATCCCCTAATTCATTTTCTCTTTTTGGTGTTATTTCTGTTCTGGACAGACACTCTTGTCCTGTCCTGGCTGCTCAGTGTCTTGTCACACTTTTCCACTTCCTTTTTCCTCTCACTGGCCTTTCATAAGTGGGACATCCCCTATGCTGCCCGGGGTCTCTCTTTTCCTCATTATGGAATGGACCTGCCAGCACATTTGTCTTGTATATACCTCTTTGATGTTGGATTTTTGTATGCCTTGTCAAGTTTCCTCTCTTCAGCTTTTCCTCCTTTTCTCCAAGCTGGCACGTACACTACTCAATGATCACTCATCTCACATTAAACTTTTTCCACTATCTGACTGTCTTGTGTCCAGTAGCATACAGCATTCTATCAGTGGCCATTCTTCAATTAACTCTGCAACTGTAATGGGTGTGCATATTCATTTACTTATTTCTTCCTCAATGTTCTAATATTTTTGGATCCCACTGGATGACTAGTGCTGTGTCAGAGGGTATACTTACCCAAAATTCCACATTGAGCTAGGATAATGGAAAGTGCTGGTCCAATTAGTGCCCACTATGAGATGGTGTGTTCCGCAAGACCACTGGTGTACTACTCGTGCTAATTATATAATTTTTATCAGTCCAATCCAAACTGTACCCATTCCATAGACTGTCATTGAAAAATTCAGTGCCAGAATTGTGCTTTTGCCCTCTTATATGGCTAGCTCTTGCTGACTTTTACAAATAGAGTTTTTGTGGTTATCCATTGTACTGTCTCCAGTAAAAATCTAAGGTTGGATAGATCTAAGGGTGGCACATTCTCAGGGTCTTCTCTATGCAAATCCCTCCACTTCAAGTGGAACATGGGAGACCATTGCCACTTACCAACTTCCAGCTGCTGGGTTGGTGGACCATGGAGAATCATCACCATTTGGGACCTGAAAATGGGTTGAAGTAAGTAGGGCAGGGTTGTTTCTTGAATGTAGTACAGACCACCCCAAAATGTCTCATAACATCACTATATCTGAGTGCATTTCAGAGACATATCTCACCTACTCTATATTCTCCTATAGCTACTCCTGTAAGAACATGACCCCATCAATTCTGCTTGTGAAGTTATTGATATTTCTTAATATTCAACTGATTGTTGGATATACAAGACTGTTTAGTGTAAGAGTTATTATTTATTTCATTTAGTGATTTAATATTTAATGAGTATTTAGTTTTTATAACAAAAATGTTAAAAGTTGAATATTTTAAAAGCATTAGTTATGACAAATTTTGTTACGTAATTGTACGTCTCGTACATTGTTAATGCAGTTTAATTGTACTAGGCTTTTGTAATATTGTGGACATCATCTTACTTGAAGCTTTTAAGTGTTTTTTGTTATGTGAATATTGTTGTCACTAGAGGGCTAAATATTTCTAGTTTTTTCTGTCGTGTGTTATAAATACATGCAGATACAGAGGTAAGTTAGTGAAAGTGAAGTTACACTGCGTGATTGTTAGTTTAGCCATAACAGGCTATATCTAAAGTGAGTTTCACAGTTCAGCAGAGATAAAGGAGAATAATTTGTCTTGTCAAAGGGTGTTCTTAACTAATTGAACCTACCTGTGTTGACTTTCATGAAAGGAGACAATTATTTAAAGCTCTGAATACAACTGTGGTAACTAACAGTTATATTGAAGATTTTGAAGTGAGTTTTACAGCTTGTAGTTTAACAAGAGTAATAGAGAAGAATAATTTGTTTTGTGAGTTGCGTTCTAAAGTAATTGAACCAGTCTATGTGAACTTTTGACGTAAAATAAAATTATTTAAGGCTCTTGATATAGTTGTGGTAACCCATGGGGTAACGTAACTGAAGTTATCACTGATTGTATTGTGATAACAGAGGAGAGAAGAAATATTTTGTCTTGTCAGTTGGGTTCTAGAGTAATTAAACCATTCTGTTTGAAATGAATTTTTGTACACACGTTTGACTTGTTTGGAATTTATTATTTTAAAAGTAGATTGCGTGCTGTCCATTTATTTTTGACATTTATTGCCAACAAGTCACAGACACCTACTATGAAGAATCTAACCCCCTACACAAAACCTGACAGTGATGTATCACTCACTAACCCTACTTCCACAGCTGGTTATGGGTCCATAGAATCTGATGGTTTCATAAGTATACTTTAATTGTGTCCCCTGCAGTGCCCCTCTTTTGTGACTGGCATGGGCCCTTAGTATTGTGACTGTTGAGGAGCTGTGCACAGATACTTTTCACATCTGCCTTTCTCCCACAGCTGTTCTTGACTGTAGAGACTGATCATTGAGGAGGTGAGCACATTTCATACAGTCTGAATGTATCCGAACCTTACAACACATACTGGTGTTCCAACAGCTTGTTTGCCTATCCTTGCAACACCTTTCAGGCTTCTCGCGCCTCTCTTTGTCCTTTACTAAGATGAAGAGTTTAGCCTGATTGAGATGATACGTGGTCTCCAACAGGTTTGCTCCTATGAAGCCACTGCCATAGGGTGTTGCTGCCCATGGGCTTCTTTTTAGCACTCTTGAAATGAGGTTCATCTAAGTAATTTATGCACTGGAGTCCCTCCACTATCTCAACATGGGATTCTAGCTAATCTGTGTATGGAGGTGAGTTGTCATATTGGGAGTTCACATTTTCCTTACCTGAAAATGTATTTTCAATAGATACTAACCTCTGTGCATATTCCCATCCCTTCTCCCCACTTTCCTTATGCACTTTTATTGATTGCCTCATCAAAAAATTAGGATTTTTGTGCATGAATGTGGAGGGAGCATTTGTGCAAGGAGGTATGTAGCACTTCTATTGCTGTATGACACATCATCATGCAGTAGTGAAAGTTCATGTGAATTTTAGGTGGATGTTTCATAAGGCTGGTGGCATGCAACTCTCTAAGACAGAATAGCACAACTTCAAGAGAAAAGTAGCTAATCTGTGCATGGGGGTTAATATCTATCAGAAACACAATTCCAAGTAAGGAAAATGTGAACATCATGCATCCAGTTGCATCGAATGGGACAGTGCTTTTTCTTTCTCGTGCTATATAACTATAGACCTTGCAGAACAGTTGTATTGTATGTGAACTTTGTCTAAGCTAGAAGGTTAGTAGAAGATTACAATATTCCCACATCCTACAAAGCTGTCATTAACTACATGCTAAATACCAGCATGAAAGTTTAATAAAATATACTTAAATACATTTATATAAAGATGTTTTATTAGTTATTTTCCCATCACACTTGGAACTGTACTCCAAAATTGCAAGTTTAAGTTGTATGTTTTTGTTACAGAAGTTAATCCTATAATATTGGGATAATGTTACTATATTCTAAGTAAGCCATTAGTAATATGTATTTTAATCATTAAATTCTTGATTTCAAGTGTCCTAAGGTAGTTTCTTTTTCACTTATATCAGTGTCTGCAGATTAGGTTATTGTCCAGGAAATCTTTCTCAAGTAGTGAAATTAAGAAACTCATTTATATACATGCTTTGAAATAATTTTTACAAGAGATTTAAAATATGTACATGACATACATGTTATTATATGTATATGTTATATAATGCTAATTTTCTATTTGTTGTGCTGTGGTCAACATTCATATAGATATAGTACAACATTTATATAACAATACTGTGTATCTTTTGCTTTTCATATGGTACAGTTTACATAAAGTATGTAGGTAAATGAAACTTAGATGTACAACTGGATTTGGGAATAATATTCTCATTGTTTTTCAGATTTATTGTCCTTCGAAGAATATTTCTGATCATGGGATTGTTATATTTCTTCCGTAGTATTACTATGTTTGTCACTCAAGTTCCTGTAGCAAGCATAACATATTACTGTTCGCCAAAGGTCAGTTGAATTACATGTAATATTTCTTATAATGTTTAATAATCAAGCTGTTTTGATATTTAAACAGTTAATTGCCTCTTTTGGTGACCCGTGAAAAATGTTATGTATATTAAGTAAGAAGAACCTGAAACTGAAGAAAGAGAAATGTAAAGAATGTCACTAAAACATCTGTCTACTCATCTACAAAATAATGCATTGTACAAAACTGACCAATATAAAAATGCATAAGTGGAATTGAGGATTTCATTACCATATCTAAAACTTTAATCATGTTGTGAAATCATCCTCTGTTGCAACCCATATTTCTAACGAGTTATTGTTAAAAACACTTTCATTTATACAGAAGAATGTGAATAAGTATTTGTTGCTTTCAAGCAAAGCTATACCTGAGCACCAGTGCTAGCTTAATTTTTTTTTTTTTTATTACCAATATTATGTACCCCTATTTTTCTGTTTGGCCATTTGTTTTGCTTGGATGAATACATCTCAGTTTAGTTACTTGTAATACTTTATTAAAAATCAAGAGGGGCATGCATAAATTGCGTTAACCATACATGTTTGTTTGATATCTTGGTATTGGATTGCTGATTGACACCTGAAGATCCCCTGAACCTAGGTACATATCCTCAGTGATGAAATCTATTTTTTAAGAATTCTGTAGGCACTTTAGCATTAAGCAAGTATACATATAAACACGATGCCATATGAAAATTACGGCAGTATTTATAACAAAATTTAGAAAATTTTAAATTACAAACTTTAGGTATTTGTTAACTTATTTTATCATTTTACTTTTATTAAATTTTAGTGTTCTGTCTTAGAATATGTGTTGTAACTTAATAGAAAGGAGGAGTGTCCTTTTTTATACTCGTGTTTAGTTTGTGAAAAATTAGATTCAAATTATATTGTTTACATTTTGCAAATTTGAAAAAATATTTAGGGTTGTTTAACCCATTCACTGCAGCTGGGATGTATATTTCCCATAGCACTGGGAAATATATGTCCCAGCTGCAGTGAATTGGTTAACAGATTTTATAGAATAACTGAAGATCAGTCATAAAACACTGTAAAAGTACTATTTTATTTGTGGTTGAATAGGTCAGTATTTTTATAGAAAGATAATAATTACCATGTTAGCTTCATGGCCTTTAGAGATCCAGATCTATTTGCATCACATGCTGGCCTGTTAACTCTAAAACACCCTGATTTGTTTTATTGCATTGTAGATAAAAAAAAAAAACCACTGGATGAAATGGTTTGAAATTTGAGTTAAAATTCCTTCAGATTATGTAGCTTCTGGAAAAACAAATATCTATATATGTTTGTTTTCATTAATTAATAAAGTAGTGGAGCCAAATAATAAAAAAACTTACAACTGAACTACTTCTTGGACAGTAATAGGTATATCTATGACTAAAGGAATATATACTTTCTCTAGAGAGGATGAACAAATTTGTTTCAGGATTAAACTTAATAATACCCTTAGCAACACAAATGAAGCTGTAAACATTGGCCTGATAAATAGTTAAAAGTCCATATTCCTGTAATCTGTTAGAAACAGATGCTATATAAGGAAGGCCTATTAAAAACCTCAAGACCTTCTTTTACAACAGCAAGATTGGTGTTAATGCATTCAAATGTGAGTCCAAACACTTAAACAGTAAGTCATTTGACTGTAGAAGATGGTTCAATATATTTGATAAATGACTCTCTTACACTGTGTGGTAATATAGACTACTTTGGTGAATGAACCCTAAGGAGCTTGAAAAAAGAAGGTTTAAACAGAGCAATTAACCTAGATTCTTTCTATATGTGAAAAGTTAGTATGAGTCAAGAATTGTTCAAACTAAAAAGACATAAATTTAACATTTTGTGAACTTGCAGATCACAAGAGAATAAAACAAAACTTTAAGAAATTTTCTTTAAGGTTTCTTTTGAAATAAAAGAATTAAAACTTGGATAATATAGAATCTTAAATTATCATGTAAATTTTAATGGTGATTTCACTGGCAAACATTGATAATAAAATAGCTTAATTAAATTTTGAATGTAACTAAGTAAAATCTTGAGACATGTGCAGAAAGGTGCCTGTAAGAAAGGAGTTAATGGATTGACATATGTAACGAGAGTCCTATCCTTTTGTCAGAATTCTTAGCTTTGTAGTCAGCAACTAGATGCTGAACAAGCACCTTATGTTCCAATTGTCTATTGTAAGTTTAATGATTACTTGTATGTGTAAAGCTACAATAGTCTTTGCTTATGTACAGTCGTACGTAATAAAGTTATGGTCATCCAAGGTGGATATCTGGCATTATTCAATTTAACAACTTTAACAAATGGAAAACATGAATTATACAGATTACAATAATGCTCTACAAAAGAGGAAAAAGCTAAATCAATATCAGGTTCTCCATCTATAATATGGTTCCCACTGACATCACTTAAAGCAAAAGTAAAATTCTTCCGTGTGTCAACAAGTCTTTTTTTTTGTATAGTTATAAACTTTGGTAGAATTAATAACACAGTGAAGGATAAAGATAATGCATAATGATCTAAAATATCACAACAAATTACATCAGGATCTAAATTGTAACAAGTTTTTTAAAATATTATCAGTGTTGATACACCAACCCATACCACCCTAGTAGGTTGGAAGGTACAAGAGTGGGCATTAATGACAGACATCAAATTATTTAATTCAAGTACTTGACTTCGACCAGTAAAAGTTTGGGTACGGTGAAAAAAAATGTCCATTAAAATCACCCATAAAGAATACAGAGTGATCTGAATTGATATTATCAACAAGTGAAACCAGTGTGTCTGATAATTCACTCCATTTAGTAGGTGGATGATAAATGCAATAAAAAGTATGAAATTCTTCAATACTAAAACTACATAATTCAATAACAGAATTAAAATTAAATTTATAATTTAAGTCAGGACATGTATATATAACAATTCCACCGCCATGCCCAAAGGGTCTGTCAATAAAATCTAGATTACAATTTAGGAAAAGGGAAGGAGACTTTTCTTGACAACACCTTGATTAAAAAAATATCAATATATCAAGTTTAAATTCACTAGAAAAAATTGAGTTATCACATCTTCTGTCTTATGTCTAATGCTTCTGACATTTAAACACATTAATTTAAGCTTGTTTTTCATTATTAATTGTAATATTAATCTTAGTAGACTCCTCTTTACCCTGGTTTAGATTAAGTTTAGCATTTAAACACTCAGGCCAAAGTTCAGGAGATGAAAAAAAATTGGTTGCTATTTCCAAAGACCAGTCAAGCTCAACACAAAATGAAGTTCATCTAGTCATCCTTTCTAATGTTTTTAATGTTGAAATCATTTCTCTCCAAAACTGACTCAATATCTGTTGTCATAATATCTAGTGCACATCAGCCAACAAATAATCTCTTGCTACCACAAGCTGATTTCAATGAACCACCTTTTTAGTCTTTTTTTTTTCACACCTTGAGTGACAGTAATCTGCTTCAATGGTTGTTTTTTTTTCCATTGTTGGGCCAGAACAAACTTTCCCTCAGGGTTATCTTGAACTTCATCATCAGAAAGAGTTCTTAATGGGCCCTCAAATTGGGTAGCACCCTTTCCAGAAATTTCTTTATTAGTCCTTTTTAGTTCACTGTTCAATCTGTTAATTGGATTAACTATCTGATGCTTAGTTTTAATTGCAGAAGCATAAGTTCTAAGTTCTTGAGCTGTTAGGTTTCATAGAATCAACTTCCATGTTACACTTATTTTCTGGCACAGAAACCACTACATTATAACCATCAAGAACCAATAGTTCCTGCCTACATTCCTTTATTTCATTGTGACATAACTTACCTTATTCTTCAAACTGATGTTTTCTTTCAATATAAATTCCATCTTACTTTCCATTCTACTGGCAAATTCTTCTAGAAAAACTAGACAACTACTGTCATGATCAATTAACATATGCAGATTGTTAATTATTTGACCCTTGCCTTGCACTTCAGCCTGCTAATTTAGTTTTTCCAGTTCTTCACTGTTACTAACATTGTTTTTCACCATGTTAGAAAATGATATATGATGGTTATCTTTACATGTAGAACATTTACACATTTAATGTGATACTTCAATTGACATATGAAACAGGAAATAACAGTATTTTCACTCTTGTAAGGCTTACCTGCTGCAAATTTAGAACACATTTCAAGAACGTCACTACTAGTTGCCATCTAAAATTTTGTCTTCCTGTATTCTTGTAAAACTTTCTAATACAATTTTATCTGTATAGAAAATATTAATATCTATAAGGATTCAAAAAACTATACACATTTTGAGTGTGTTTATGATCACTGCAATATAATAAAAATAATTCTTTACTATACCAAAGTTATGAGGAAAATAAATTTTATTTTAACTATTAGTCAGAAGCTTTCACTCAGTGTGCGTAATAAGTTTTTAAACCCATTTTATATCATTTTACATTTTTTCTTGGGGAGTTTCTTTGCTCATTCACGCAGTTACTTGGCTAATAAAGCTAAATGTGAAGAAGACCTAACATTGACAATGTTCTTGTTAGGAAAACAAAATATGATACAGTCAACTACAAAGTGGTTAATTAAGTATACCTCTTATGTTCCATGAAACTTTTTTTTTTCTTATACTGCAACATTGTAATTCAAATCTAGTATGAAATGATAAAACAAAGTTTAAAAAATAATCAATTCTGGTAGAAGTTGTTCATAAATATCTTTTCTTCTAGTTATGTATCACTAAGCTAAGTTTCTGTTATTTGTTATGATCTCTTCTGGAAGCCATATTGACTTGTACAGTTAAGAAGAACAGAGAAAAAGCTTTTAATATATGTTTTAATCATGAGTCTTGAGATGTGGGTAATTACATCACACCATGACAACTGAAGTTGAGAAACAGTGATTGACTAAAATTGATAAAACTACATTTGTATTGAAGGTAAAAAGCTCAAACTAGCTCTATTTTTTTCAAAATTATTTTGACTTTCCTTCTAGGGGGGATATGAGTACTGTATTTTGCTCAGAAAAAATGTGGAAATAAAAAAAAGTATAAACGTTTTTGTTTGGAGTGCATTGAACTTAACCCAAGATCAAAACTTGACATTTAGAAAAAATTATGCATAAAATTAGACAATAAAACTTTTTGTCAAAAACTTAATTTTGAAGAGTTTAATAAATCTGTGGAAGAACAAGTAGATGCTTATTGTCTATATTTTTAAATTCATCGTGTATTTTTTAATAAGTTCAGAATTAAGAGGACCAACTTTCAATTCAGTTAGATATTGTCTTTTAGTTGAACAGTCATTTTAATAGTTAATTCAAGCAGTATTCTGTACTTCAGATTGGTTTTCAAAAAGGTGTACGTGCTCAATCTGACAAATTACAGTTAGCACCAAATGAAATGCTGTTGAGGTGGCTGCTGTGACTATATTTTAAGCCAAACAAGTGTGAAATGTATATTTTGTGCAAATAATTTTGTTTTTCAAGAATATCATCTATGATATTGTGAATGTATTATAGTATGAAATTTAAATACTTCTGTATTGTAGATATTGTTGCCATAGTGGCTTATTACTAAACTTTATTATCAAAACACTAATGTCCCATGATTAGGTTTTGTTTAAAGTGATTTTGCAATAAATCTATAATTAGAATCACTAGCTGAGGAACTGAGAAAAACATATTACTTGAAATCAGTTTATTATCAATGATTTTTAAACTGAAAGATATAATTATCTATTTTAAAAAGTATTTTAGTATTTCATTTCTTGGTATTTGTGTAATTTGGTCTTTTTCTTTGTAGAAAAACAACACAACTCCTATCTTGATTGTAAAGCGAGTTCTTCACCTATTGAGTGGGTTTGGACTATCCATTAATGGTCAACATACTTTTTGTGGTGATTACATTTACAGTGGTCATACAGTAATTTTGACCATGACCTACCTTGTAATCAATGAATGTAAGTTTTTATGCATTGTTTTTAAGTAAGATATTTTAAATATATAACATGTTCAATGAAATAATACTGATTTATAAAAATATTTACTATCAAGTTTTAATTTATTTTTATATTATGGTTAAAACAGAACCTCTCTAGCTCAGCACAAAATATAAATGCAGAATAGCAGCTAGATGGGCTGTCCAGGTGAACTGGTCAGGAGAATGCTAAAATTAACTAATAAAGTGAATGCCAAACAGTGTGACATGAACTGTATTTATTGTCAAAAGAAAAGACAGTAAATTATTACAACTTGGAGATTAATACGGATAACCATTTTCATTACCAATTATGTAAAAAGATATATCATCAAGAAATGTTTTTTGGTCAATTATTTTCATGCAAAATCTTAAAAAATAGTTGTTTGTTGTGTTTCAAACTTTATGCCTTATGATAATATGAAATATTATATGAAAAAATATAATAGGTTTAAAAAGTTGCTGTTTGCAAAGCTCTTAACATTAAAAAGGCATTAGACATAACATTTTCATAGTTTCCTCTCATAAACTGCTGATGTTACTATCCAGGCTATAGTCTCACTTTATGATGCCTTAGACATATATAGAATTTAAAATAACAACACAGAAGAGTGGCATTATAAGGTACATGTAAAAACTAATGGGTAAGTTACAAGACCTGATTGAAAGTTTGTTTCTGGTTGTGCTTAGCAATATTTAAGTAAGACTGACTCATTCATAAATAAAGAAACTGAGACAGGATGTATCACAGATAGAAACAGCACTTTATTGACTAATATGGCATGTCAATCACTAAAACTAAAATTTAAAAAAAGCTTTAATTTCAGTTTAGCTATCTGCATAAATGGATGCTGGAAGAGATACAACTTTATCAAATCACTGGAAGATAATATTGAAACCTGAGCTTCAGAGTGCTGTGTTAATAACATACTTGAACTAGTTATCCTGACCATCTGTGACTACTTAAAGGCAAGGTTAAAGCAATCAAAGGTTGGATGCATCCATTATATTCATAACTTATAATTAATTACAGAAGCCTGTAGAGAAAATTTCAAAATGTGTGTGTTAAGAAAAATATATCTATAATAATAAAAGGGCATGACTGTGTGTGACCGCCATAACTACAAGAGGAAAGAACCTAGAAACCCGAAATTTTGCACCCATACTAAGTTGACCCTGAGGGTGTGCACCTGGGTATTATTACTTATCATATCCACATGCATGTACACATGCACATCTTTTTAATGAGGCAAGCTAGCGAAAAACCACATAGAAAAGAAATGGTTCCTTATATTACAAATAGAATCACAGGCAGATTGCAATCAGGTCCATGTGTTTTTCTGTATATCTGCATGTGTATTTCAAAAACTAATAGACTGTTGCACATGAAACTTTTATACAAGATGGGAAGTAAGTATGGGACAGTCCTCCCCAAATTTGGTTGAGATCCAGTTTCTGGATCACTTTGAAGTATTTTTTTTATAATGGGGAGATAGGGCATTTTTGCTGTTTTGGTTTAATAACTCTGTGAAGTGTGATTGGATTTGTACTGAATTTCATGGACATATTAAGGTTAAGATTCATCACATTACAAACTATGATCTCGATCATTGATTATTCTGGATCTGAAAAAGATTTTCAGAGTTTTTAAAGGTGAAATTTGACATTATCCAATATAAGTGCATGCAATCTCAAAAAGGAGCATCAGGGCAAGGGTATGCAATCTCTGTGATTGCTCATGTTTTTATGTGTGAAACTGTGTAGATAGAAGTTAAATTGGACAGGGATATTCATGATCCAATGAAAATAAGGGGAAGCATAAATATGACAAAATTCCATAAATTTTCCTCCGGTCACATAAATAGCTATTCTCCTTCATTGCTGCCCTTTATATGCAAAAAACATTTTGCACATACCACAAGCCTTGAATCTGCCACATCTGAAAATCGACTGATTCCAATGTATCTCGCATGAAAATTATCATGCAACAACCCTCCATCAAAAAGTGTGCGAGATACTGTCTTGACACATGTGACTCTCTCTATTCAATTCTACTGAACTATCACTTTTCATTTGGCAGTACTCGTGTTCTAACATTTAGTTTGTGCTCTCTTCAAGTGCTGTATTTTAATTTTTTCAGTATCTTTGGGTTAATTTCTCTCAACAAGTTTACTTGTTATTACACAGTAGTGACATATGTAACTTGTTGAGTTATTCTGATGTGGAATGATTTTATATTTTTACCTAGTTACAGAACTTATTACTTAATTACCGAAACTTTTTCTTTGTTTCTGCGAACACAGTTATGAATTCTACATTCCCACTTTAGAGATTATATGTTCTATTTGCACGCTTACACTGGCTTCAGGTCACGTTGCTCTGAGGGAATATTTACAGCTTTACTTTGTCAGGAGATTGATCATCCAAAGAGCTGATATTCATCAGGCCTCGCCTCAAGTTTGGGGACCACACATTTTGACATACAGACCACCTACTTTGGAAAGATAAGATGTTATATTGTTATAATTTTGGAATATTTTAAATATTATAATCTGTAGTTCTTTGAGTATTATAAGATAAGTTTCATTAGTTTAGTTGATACTCATTGTCCAGTTCAAGTTAGAAATTAGGCATAGTTGTATCCTTTCTCATATACCACTGTAATTCGTTTGAAAAGGGATATCAGTCATTCGTTTAACTATATTGTTGTTGTTTTTCCATATATCCCGTCTTATACATAGGTTATTGTTCTTACCCACACACTTTATTTCTTTTTATGTCATTTTGTTATTTTACTTATGGTTAGATTAAGATTTTTATTTTAGAGCTTAGTGATATATTTTCCTGCACTGTTTAATTAGGCTTAGCACGTGTCTGTTATTTTTGGTTTACTTGTAGTTCAACTACTTGAGGATTATCGGTAATTATGTTAAACACCTTGTTAGTTTAGGTTTAATAAGTGTCTGCTTATTTCTCATCATTCATTTCGTTTAATTTATACTTTATACATCTTACCATTAATTTTATTTGTGTGGGCCCCTGTGGGCTGGGGTCCACCTTACCTGCACCCAATATTACTCACCTTCCTCTGATTATGGCTGAAACTTTTCCTGGCATTGTTTCTCTATGATCTTTTTGTCTCTTTTGAGGTTGGGTACTTGCAAGCCTCGCCATATACAGGCTTTAATTCTTTTTGCCTTAATTTACCATCAGGCAGATTTTATTCTTGGATTTATGTCCTTTTGGATCTCTGTTAATCCTACCTAGTTTTTCATTTTCGTTTTACCCTACCTACTCACCTATGGGTAATGTTCACCTTCCACTTCGTTTCTCAGATGTTCCACCTATATTTAGGGATTTTTGTGGGATACATCTTCCTCCTTCCCTCCATGTTGGTGGGTTGCCATCTTCCATTCTATCCCTCCACACGTGGCTTCTTTCCTTTTGGGAACTTCTTTGTTTCCCATCCACTGCTAATAGGAACTTACGGTCAGATCTTTTTCTCCACCAATCCAATTTTTTGCAGTTCCTCCTGTACATTTAGCATCATGTGGGGTATCTGCCATGATATATTAATTTTTTTTCATTCTGAGATATTGTCATCTTTATTCTTTTACATGTCCAGCAATTTTCCATATTTTACATGTCCTACCTATGGGTTTTACCCACTTATCTTCTATACTCGATGCTGTTTGGGTTTCTGGATTGATCTGTCCCACCTCAATCACTTCTTGGGCCTCCCCCATTTTCATATGTAGTTTTTGATCACATTTGGGTTTGCTATTTCTGCATCTCGGGGTATGCCCACATTACACATTCTTATTTTCCATTTTTTGGGATGCTATTTCAGGTTACTTCACAAAATGATTTGTTCCCAGTTTCATGCCTTGCCCTTTGGACTTGTCTGGTTCCATATATCTTTTGTGGGGTGGTCTGCATTTTACCTGACTTCCAGTTTTTAGGGGTGATTTTACTTACACTATTCATTGGATGTATAGTTTTGGTTAGCTGTTTCTGAATGGGGGTAGTCTTCACATACTTAAATACTCCTTCCACGGTCAGCTCAGGTTGTTGGATTTTTTCAATTGGATATGTTTTTCCTGTTCCATACCTCACATTCTCGTCTTTTTGGGGTGGTATTTGTATACATCCCTCTTTTGGGACCATCCATTGATTTTCTTCTGAATTTCTTCCTTTCCTCTTTTTCTGTATGAGTTTATAGATTTTCATATTCCCTAAGATGTTAGGTTTCCTGCTTCTTTCCTCTCTTCTGGATTGTTTCTCTTCCCTGATGCTCATCTCCATTGGTTGGGGATGTGGTTTGATCTGTAGAAGGCTTCATGACTATGATCTCCGGCAAACAGTCTTATTCCCTTCACACCCTGGTACTTCATCCAGTCCAGTGTGCTTTTATTCTCTCGTTTCATTTTGTCCAGATTTGACTAATCATGTTTCATTTTGACTATTTGATGGTGATGGATTCTATCACTTGCCAAGGGGACGTTCTTTCTTGTTCATTTTGTGGTAGACAGTGGAACTCCCTTTTTGAATCCACACACTTCACGTACATCTCCTGGAGGGTCGTGTTCCAGGTTTTTGTACTCGTTGCTCCTTGTCTTTCCAGTCCCATCACATTTTCTCCCAAGGAGTGACCTCTCGATTCTCCAAATTTTTGATAGTTCTATCTCTTGTGGGATCCTCCTACACATGAAGTTTTCAATTTTTTATCAATTCTAAGTAATTCCTTCTTGTGTTTTTGGCCTGTAGTTCTTCATCCACTTGTCCTGGCTGTCGATATGTTCAGACAGGATTACATCCAGTTTCTCATGTTAGTTTTTCTCCTTCCATCAGTTTTTATCCCAAAATGTTTCTTCATCCATGTCACTCTGGTGGAAGAACTTACATTACTATGGTTCTCCCCCTTCTGCTATCCCTCGATGATTATTATTCTGAGGATGTTTCTGCACTTGGGGCAGTTCCTGT